CTGAAGGTGTCATGTCTCAACAGGGAGTGGCCTCTGAACCTTCTGTAGTTACCATAGAGGACATACCTGGTGAGCAGGCAGCTGCCCAGCACCTTCTCAGCCAGAGGAGAATGGATTAGGCTGCTCTGTGCGACGTCTTGGACACCTTCACTGTGGATGATGAGCAGGTAGTTAGTGTTTCTGGCTGCAGAGCCTCCCGCCAGCCCTAGAATAGCTGGTAACCCTCACATCTCCACTGAGAAAACTGAGCTGGGAACTGAGCTGTTTGTGAGGCAGCAGCACCCACTCAGGTTTTGGCACTTGTGGCAGGTAATTTTGGGGGTGCCATCTTTCTGTTCTGTGCTGCACATCCTACCTGCCCACCATCACTCCTAGCTTCTATTTCTTGTGAAAGTTTCTCCGTTGTCATCCATAGGCCACCCAGAGTTCTACTTACCAGCCAGGTGGTGTCCAATTTGGGCATTTGCCCATCAGCAAGCTGTGCTTGAGACACCAGTGGTATGGTGGGTGCCCTACAGAGCTTGATGTCTGTTCCTTGGGTTTCAGATCCTGCCCTGTAATTTTCCAGAGCATTGGTTGGGTGTGTTCCAGGTTCACTATAACACAAGAAGAGAAGCTTGCTTGTGTAATAAAGGTGCTATGCACAGGAGGAAAGCAGAGCTGCTTCACCCTGCAGGGGGAGCTGTCACTCACAGAGGGCTGTGGGTCATCCTGAGTACCATGGTCACACATTGTTTCCCACATGAGTTGGGCTGTGCCCTGGTGAGTTTGGAATCCTGGTATGGACCTTCCTCCAGGGCCAACTTTTGTGGTCCACCTGAGTCACTGCAGTTCTGTCCATCAGGGATTTGGGCTGTGCTTATATGGGAAATGAGTGGCCTGCTGCTGCCCAGGTATAGCCAAAAGGGTATGGGTCCACAGGGGGCTGTCACTGACCTGTCACTAACCCTTCCCTGGCAGTTGTCCTCAAGGAACTGACTGGGGTCTTTCCAAGGGTCTTCCCTGGGCCATTCTTGCATTTCCTGCAGTCTCTTCACCACTGTGTCATGGAGGGTATAGCCAGACCCTCATCAGGGCACCTTCAAGCCCCACCCCAGGGTGCCTGCGCTCTCAAATCCTGCTGCTGAGTGCCTCCCTGCTGACCACACACCTAGAGGGCAGCTAGCAGCTGTTCTAAGGTTGAAGCAAGGTGTGTGCTCTGATGGGCCTGGAGGATCCTCTGTGCCATGTGGTGACCTTCAGGTATCTACAAGACCCTGGCATCCATTTCATCCTGGAAATTGGGACATTGGTTACCTATACTTAGTTTTCACTTCTGTAAGGAAAAAATAACTGAATCTGAGGTTTGATTATTTGAACCATCAGAAAACTTTTGTTTGCAAATTACCAAAAATTCAACTCAGATTGGTTAAGTGGAATTTATTGCTCATATCACTGATCAATCCTAAGGCTGTAGGCGAGATCATTCTAGGCACCTGGCTGGTAGCCCTGAAGAGCAGGTGTGGCTCTACCAGTCTGCACTGCCTCCTTTCCCTCCTGGCGACTGTCTCTTGTGCTACAGACCATCCCATCCCTTGGTCACATGGAATCCCCAGCTCCCTGCCTCATTGCTTCATCCAGGGAACAAAGGATGCTCCTTCAGGACAGAGGAAAATGACCCAGTTATCCCACTCCTTGGTCTATATCCAAAGGACTTAAAATCAGCATACTATAGTGACACAGCTACATCAATGTTCATAGAAGCTCAATTCACAATAGCTAAACTGTGGAACCAAACTTGATGCCCTTCAACATATAAATGGAGAAAGAAATGGTGGTACATATACACACTGGAATATTACTCAGCATTAAAAGAGAATAAAATTAGGTATTTGCAGGAAAATAGATGGAGTTGGAGAATATCATGTAAGCTAAGTCAGCAAATCACAAAAAAACAAAGACTAAATTTTCTTTCTGATAAGTGGATGCTGATCTATAATGAGAGTGGGGTGCAGGGGGAGAATGGAGGAACTTTGGGCAAAGAGGAGGGAGGGGAGAAGAGGGCAATAGGGGAAGGAATGATGGTGGAATGAGAATAACATCATTACCCTAGGTACATGTATGACTGTGCATGTGGTGTGACGCTGCATAGTGTACAACTGGAGAAAGGAAAAGTTGTGCTCCTTTTGTGTATAATGAATTAAAATGCATTCTGCTATCATGTATAACTATTCAGAACAAAAAGAAGAAGAAGAAGAAGAAAGAGGGAAAGCTTTCCCCCAAAGCCCCATTGGTTCTAACAGACTCTCCAGCCTGGCCCTCCATTTGCTGTGGCCGTGAGGTGTAAATCAGTGGTTGAAGGAGCCCACAAGGGCTGACCCTGATGCTGGAGCAGAGCTGATGCCACTATCCTTTCAGGGTGCATGGTGAGAACAGCGAGCTGCAGGGACCTTTCCCAGTACAATGGAGAGGTGGGACGTTGACCACATGGGTCCCACACCCACCCTGTGCCACCCTGCATTGTCAGCAGGTGGCCCTGAAGACCCTTTGTGCATGATGACATAGCCTCAGTCCCCTGCTGAGCTAGAGAGCTTTCCATGACTTTAGACATGCTTTTTCACTGCAGGTCATCCTTATGGTGACCATGTTATGTAGGGACATCTGCTCCATTTAACAGATGAGGAAATTAGGGCACCTGGTGGCTTAATAAGTCCACTGGATCTCCTGGCTAGTGTGGCGTGTGGTGAGGCTGGGTGTGGCTGTGCTACAGTCTGTGGGTGGAGGCAGCTGAAAATCCAGGGCAGTAGGATGCTCTCCAGGGCTCAGTGCAGCACAGCAGCCATGACACCTGCAAAAAGTAGGTTCAGCATCCCATCCCTTGGCTCCCTGACCAACTCCTTTGGCAGTTGGCCCATCTATACTTAGGGGCTAGTTCCTCTCATTGATTTTTAAAATTTTTTATTTATTTGTTTTTATTTTTTGGTACCAGGAATTAAACCCAGAGGTGTTTTTACTTCTAAATCACATCCCAGCC